TCAATATTGAATTGGGCTATAAACTTGGATTGGGCTTATAATTTGAGTTAGGCCCATGGGCTTGACTCATCAATATTGAATATAAGTTCAATAGTTAATAATACACACATTTAATTCAACAGTCAAGCCATACACAATATTATATTTTATATATTTTTAATTATATAACCAAATCGACTAGTTAATCCAACGGTTGAACCAATGAACCATTAATTCAATCCTTCTATCAATTCAATGTCCAATCCGAATCTGATGACATTACTTTGGGAAGTAAAAAATATTTTCACTGTCTAATTTGGATTGTGAGATATATGTTTTTGTCATTTGAATTTTTGGGCAGTGAAATATGTTTTTCACAGTCCAATTTGGGCAATGAAACATATAAGTTATTGTCATTTGAATTTGTTGGCCCTAATTGTAGCACATTCAAGCTTTCGCTTATTAAACATCTTTATCTTCTTCTTCTAGCACATGTATAAGTATATATATACAAATATATAAAACACCACTTTTTGGAATCGTAGTATCATGACTCAATCAATGGTTTGTCGTTTTTGTCTTCGTTGTGTTTTTTTCATGAATATATATGTATATATATAAAAATGCATGCACACACACACATGTAAGATTCAAAATGAAGGAGATTTTAAATTTTGAAATGTGTAATTTGTATGATGATCATTAAAAAAGCGTAAATGGATTTTTTGAAATAGATTTTTTTCTTTAAGACCAAAAAAAAAATGTACGCGCACCTTAAAAGTGTACTACATAGGACCAGCCACCAAAAAAAATTCCAATTTTCAAGACACAAGGGCCTGAGGTGAAATATGGTGTGTTTAAAATATCTTTATCAGGGTTATACATAAAATACATTCACACTATGGTAAATATGCAAGTTTTAAGATGCAATATAAGTGAGAAGTGATGATTTTTTTTAACCGGGAGCGGGAGAATTCAATATGAATGATTTTGATAAGAATATTGATAACCGTTGAATGAGTCTATTTGAGACCGTCAAATGAACTTATTGAAGTATGTCATGTTTTATATTATAGATGCCTTCAGGAGTTTTGTGTTTTATTATATAGACCACCATGTTTGAGCTATTATTTTCTTCACATGCAAAATGTTCGGTTTTCTGTGATTGGGAATAAATCGCCACTCCCTAGGTCTATAGAGCAAATATTATCTGAAGCAGAGGTGGCCTTGAAGGCAAATTCAGGACTCCGTCTTATGGTAGCGCTTGGTTACGGTGGAAGATATGAGATATTGAAAGCGTGTCTAGCAAAGTAAAAGATGGTCTTATTCAACTGCAAGATATTGAGGAGAGCCTAACTGAGCAAGAGCTGCAAAGAAAGTGGACCAAATTCCCCAGTCCTGATCTATTTATACGGACAAGTGGCGAATGTAGAGTCAGCAACTTCATGCTATGACAGTTGGCTTATAGTGAACTTTATTTTTCTAAAATATTTTTTACGGATTACAGAGAAGCAGACTTTATAGAGACTTTAAGCTCATTTTAACAAAGACAAAGACGATATGGTAGGCATAGTCAGTATTCAACATTTACCCAACTACTTAGTCTCTTTTTGATTATATGTAATTCAACTTGAAAACCCATATTATTATGGCAAGTTTATGTTGGAATTTCATTCAAGTTCAACTTTTTTTTTCTTTTTTTATTAAAAGTAATGTCAACCCAGCATGAAATAAAATAATTGCTTAATGCTTCAAAAGTTTTGAGTCAAAGGAATTAAGTAATGTTTGATATTGAATTAAATTTTTTATTTTTTTTTGTCAAGCTTTTTAAGTTTTGCATTTTTAATTTTTTTTTTTTTGTAAACACTTGGTTCCCCTTTTTCTAAGCTTAGTTGAACGCATCTTTTTTTTTTTTTAGGGAGAGGAGAAAGGAGACTTAAACCTTTAATTTCAAGAAAAGAGAGTCTTCACAAAACAAACAACACAATTGGACCAAAAGTCCATTAGTAAACTTAGATGCTACTATAAATTGTATGGTTAACTAGGCTAGGGTCCTTTCTGTGATGTATAAATTAATTTTAGTCCTATCGAATTTTTATTATATAAAAAAGCCTTCCGTGTTTTTTAAAAAAATTGCATGCGGTCCATGTTGGGGCATGAATGTATAGGGGTTGAACAATTAGTGTATTTTCATTGCCAATTTTGCCTTGATCACCTGATTTTAGTCTAAAATACAGTTAGTTTCATTTTTTTTGTGTTTGTTATTGAGAATTTTGTAATGTTGTATATCAATTTTATATTTTAAATTTGTGAACCAAGCAATTTAAAATATACTGATCGTTTTTTAAGCGTTGATTTGGTAGGTATACAAATTAGATCGCAATAGTTAAGTTTTACGTATTCGTTGGCAGGTTTAGGTACATTTTTTTTATGATTACGTAATTTTGAATTGTGTTTGGTTTTATGGTTTTATCAATGGACCTTTGATCTAATGGTACTCTTTGTCTTGTCAAGATTTTGCTTTCTTAAGGTCAAGGGTTCAAATTCCCTGTAGTGGTGTATATGTACCTTCTTCTCAATTAAATATTGATTTACCTATCTCTTAGATGTATATACTCGTATAATGTATCTAAATGATCGAATATGTTGTTCGTCGTATATAATATGTTGCGTACATATACCTATTGTGTTTGTTAATTCATTTTTTTGTGTGTGTAATTATAAATGTTTGTAAGCTTGATTACCTGTCATATTTAATTTTTAATTTTACTGAGGATGGATACATAACTTCTATGATAATATTTTAGTTACCTCTTGTTCACTTGGATGTGTTTTGATGGTTTGGCATGTGCTTCGTTGAGGAAACTTATAAACATTTATATGCTACTTTGTGTTTTTTGCTCCCTTAACTAATTCATTATTTTATGTGTTTCTATTTTGATTTTTTGATACGTTATTTATAGACGTATTTCCATGGGGCAAATGAAGAGGTTTAAATATATGTTCATTATAATGTTAATTGCGTAGTTAATCAAAAAGACGTTTGTCCATTTCAATGTGTCTCTCTTAGAGATACATTGAATTTAACCCTTATTAATAAATATATCTTAATGTACCTACGAACGATCAATTAATGGATTCGAGAATATGTCATCTTTTTTTAGTGTATCTGTCTAATGATCAGTATTTATGGAGAAGAAGATACATTATGATTATATAACTTTTTAGAATAAGTGTTTCAATTACTTGATGGTATTATCGTAAATTTTGAAACCTTAAAGGGTATTAGTTATGTCCATTGTTTTGACTTTTCAACAAGGACCTAATATAAAAACAAATTATAAGTACCGACCTCTAAAAAACTCAAAAATGTATAAATGTAAGAAAATTTTTTAATTACCTAAAACATCCCTATTAAATTATTAAAAGACATTAACATGTTTTTAATCATTTTTTCAATGGTTATAATTATCAAGTCTAGTTTTTAAATCTATTTTTTAAATACAATTATACCCTTAATTAATACTCTGAAATCTGTCTCTAATGCAATGGTTTCCGTAACTTATTTCGAGCTGAAGGCCCTAATAATTCTAAAAATAAATATTTATGTGCATCGAATATATCAGTTACTTCAATCATTATATGTTTCTATCTTCTACTTGATACACAGCCATGAAATCATCATGTAAACTACATATTCTGGCAATAAATACTTAATATGCAATATATCTTCTACTTAATAAAAACAGAATGAAAGCTATCTCTCTTTTTTTAAATTTTGATTTCAAAATAACAGCTTATTTCATAGGTGAGAATTGAATTCTCATAATAAATCTTAGGCAGGGCCGACTCTAGGCATAGGTAACTAAGATGGCTAACTAGAGCCCCACTTATAGAGGACAACCCCCCCCCCCCCCCCTCCCCTCCCCCCAAAAAAAATAAAAAAATTTAGCTCTCAAGTATATTAGACCTATTTTTTTTGGGAAAACTTTGAAGTGGTGTCTTTTAAAATACATAACTGTGAGAAAATATCATGACTAAAAGTCTAACTTTCTTTGTAGATAAGTGTTCTTGAGTTGAAATATATTGTATTTAGGTAGACATTGACAAATTTTCAAATTTTTTTTTTACTAAAATACTTTTTTCCATATTTATTAGGCTATTTAAATTGACAATCTCATTTTTTTTATGGGATTTAGTTTATATTAAGAGTTTCCTATTTTAATAAATAAGCATATTTGAATTTGAAACTAAAATCATAGGATTATGATTTAAACGTAAATTCATATTATTATATTTCAACGGCTGATGTAAATTTTCAACTTTTGATTTTCTTTTTCTACGTCAACATTTGTTGTTCTTCTTAAACAGAAAATACTTCAACATCCGGTTTTATTGTTTCAAAGTGACCCACTTAAATGAATAGAAAAAATTAAGATTAATGAAGTGTAGTGTATACAATTTATGCTACATTGGAAAGAAGTCTTTGTTATTGTCGATTGAATCTAAAAATTCTATAGGAAATCAAAGAAAGGAAACGTTAATTTAAAATATCACTTCTGGGTTTGCTGATTTCATTCGAGATTCTTCAATTAAAACAAGTCTTGAAAGTTAAGTAACCCCCACATGTACATGAGCAAGCGCAAGCGCAAGCGCAAGCGCAAGCGCAAATGCAAAACTACAGTCACTTAAATATTAGAACGACGTCGTCTGGCCGATTTCTGTGACTTTAATTACACAAGTGTACCCAGACCCAACTGAAGAGAAGTATAGTTAACCAAGATCACCGAAATGTTATCCTCGCGATTCCCAGTTCCCCTTCTTCCCAAGAACACTCTCTCTCGTCCCTAAAAAAAACCAAACCCTTTTCTTACCATACCTCTGACCGTGTTCTACTAAAAATAAACAAATCAAACTTGTACCTTTCAATTCATCTTCCCAAAACTCGCAAGCTTCTTGTGAGTAGGACACCTTCAAATGCAGTACTCGGAGGCGGATACGAAGATAGATCGATTGAAACCATGGATGTGTCGGGAAGAAGTGGAATTGCCGGCAGGTCTCAGACGAGAACTGATGCCGAAACGTGTCGCCGTGATTGTGGACGGCAACCGGAGGTGGGCCTTGCAAAGGGGTTTGCCGTTGGAACCAGGGGTGCTCAAATTTTAGACCGGCCGCAAGTTCTGTTCTTATCCTATCCTATTGAACTATCCTATTGAACGGCTAACCGTAAAAATCGGGTAGAAATATGAAAGAGTTTTTGGTCTTGCGACAATTTTCGAGTAGGAATGTGGAATAGTCATCTATTTCCGTATTCCTATCCTACCATACTCACAATAATTTTTTCCTATCTTACAAGCGGAGCAATTATGATTTTAATGTATTTCATATGCTTTAAAGTTTAAACTTAAATTAATTGTTATTGTATTTGTGTAACAATTATGGTGGATTGATGTTCATACTTTTTTATGTTTTATTATAATTCTTGTTGTAGTTGTTTTAGAATTTAGTGTTAATTGATTTATTATGTTATTAAATTGGTGCATGTTATTTAATTAAATTATTAAAATGATCCAAAAATTAATTATTACAAAATTGTTTATCCAACTTCCTACCCGATTAATCGGGTAGGAAGGGGGGTAGGAATACCACAACTGTCTGGTAGGGTAGGCCAAGAAAAAACTCATCTGCAAAGTATCGAATAAGAAGACGAAAGAACATATTTGCTACCCGTAGGATAAGGTGAACACCCTAGTTGGAACAAGGTCATAGGGCCGGTGGACACAGAATAATTGAGCTCATTCGGCTGTGCGGCAAATGGGGAGTTCAATTTCTTACAGCTTTTGCATTTTCTACCACAAAAGTCAGTGGTCATTCTACAATTACCATTTTTTTGTCCATAGGGCTTCGTTTTTGAAATAACACTTATAGCCGCTTGTTTGGTGATATTTATTGTTCGGATAAATGACACTTTGCACCCAAAATATTTTTGCGTTCTCAATTTACACCCTAAAAATTAAAATTTCTATATTTCAATCAGACAAAAAGATTTGAGTACGGAATTTAAATTAAAAACACTTTAAATTAAGTATTATATAAACAACTGCGATTATTCACCCTCATTATTTAAAATATTCATTCTGGATTTATAAATATTCCTATACAACATTACACAAGTTGCCTGTTAATGTGTACACTTAACCAAGAGGTTGTCGGTGGTCAAATTTGTCCTCTTGTAATTAAGGGGTCTTAGGTTTGATAGTTTTTATATCTTTTATGGTCATTCACCCTTATTTCTCAAGGAATATGTTCTTAAAATAGTTTGAGTTATAATGGCCAATTCAGAATTTGAAGAAATAGTTTGCGCAAGCCTAGATATTTTGTAGAAAAAAAAAAAAGCCTTCCCCTACATCCATTAACCTTTAATCATGTCATTTTGATACTTTAAAGGGTAAAATACAAAAACTTTCCATATATTAAGTCTCGATCTCACTTCACCCCTTTAATTTTAAGAGTTTCATTTAACCTCCTCCAACTTGTTACCAAACTACAAATTTAATAGAATTAGTTTATTGCAACGACATGATAATTTTACACACTAATTAAGTGCGTGTTATAAAATAAATAATTTTTTTTATAAATTAAAAAATTAAATTAATAATTTTACCCTTCATCTTCCCCCACCCCCCTCTCTCTCTCTCTCTCAAATTCGCTTTTGACTCTTCAAGCGATTTGCTTTTTCAATCTAAGGTTGTTTTTGAACCCCCTTGACCGCAAATCAGTTACACTCAACCTCCCTTAATTTTGAAGCTTTAGTAAATTTTTCAAAGTTTTGATTTTCAAGTTTATAAACCCTAGTGAGTTTCTTCACCACACACAAACACCCCCCCCCCCACTCCCGCGCTTGGCCATGGCTTCCAAACACTGTAATATGTTGTACTACAATCACCATAACATAACCCAAGCCTCAATTGAGGAAGAAAAGATTGTTTGCTTTGTAACCCATTTGAAAATTTAATTATCACTTTAAGCTGCAAATAGAAATTCGAGCACACACAACATGAAACTTAAATCTAATCATACTAATGAAATCTTCATGAAAAAATAAATTTGACCATGTTGTTTTTGTCTTTTACCCTTTGTATTTTAAAGATTAAGGTTTTACAATGATGGCATAACAAAGAAAATTGGATTGCAATCAAGGTATAGTTAAATTTTTTTGTATAAACTGTTATGTCTGTTAATATTTGTAGGTTGTTCACAAGTTAGAAAGGGTAAAGTGAAACCCATAAAAGTATAAAAGCATAAAGTGAGATTGAGAGAATTAATCGAATTTAAACAAAAAACAATAACAATCTTTCCCACTTCATAACATAATATTTGTGTATATATTACTTTTAAATTAATACTTTTAGATAGTTGGTGGAGTTCAATATCAAGTCTTCGTATTTGTCCATTGAAAAATTTTCCAAAAAAATGAAAACATGAATCATAAATTAGCAACCCAATGTGAATTTGTGTAATTCACCAATTCTCAGTTCCTAATTTCATACGAGATTCTTCAATTAAACTAGTTTTGAGGAGAAAATTTTGTATGAGTAATACAAATTACGTGGAATGGCTCATGTGGTGTACGTACCTAATGAGGTGCTGCAGGCTTTTATACATTGACCATGGGTTTAATGTTTTGAAGTCACGGAAGTGTAAGGTCTGAATCAAAAAAAGCAACAGAGCATGGCAACAGTTTCTTACATCTCCTTTTCTACGTTTGTCTTCTCCTGTTTTACTCTTCTTTTCTCAAGGTACACTCTATTTTGGAATCCCACATATAATGTTACAGGGATTTTTCATCTATTAACGGAAAAGGGTGAAGACTATGGTACCCCAAAAAAAAAAAAAATTTTGGCCTGATACCATAGTCTTCTCCATTTAAAAGAAGGGTACCTTGAAAGATGAAAAAAAATTCAAACTTCTACCACCCTTAAAATTATTTTTTACTATGAGATATCGACATTATTAATTAATTTTTGGTGTCCAAGGTTTTTTTTTAACTATATCATTTTAATTGATCATTTTTAATTTAAGCTCTAATTTATATACGATAACAAAATAAATATTTATTCAGTGTTGTTAGTATGATAATAAAAAAAAAATATATTTATTTTTATAAATTATAAGTCCAATATCTCAACTGATATTTTATATTGTCATTGACCACAGAAAGAAATTTTCAACATATTTAATTTAAATTTAAATATGTCTAATTTATTAAAAGATTATCAAATTATTAAAAAAAAATTAGACCAATGTAGTTGAAAATAGTACATAGAATAAAAAAATTATGTAATTTGTTATATATTAAGAGTAACATATGTTTGAAAGTAAGGTGCAATGCGCTAGAAAATAAGACATAGGATAAACTTGTGTGTCTCCGTACTTTAACTCTACCTACGATATGTATTTAAATATTAGGGTTTCATCTATTATCTCTCCCTATGGCCCCATTTGTGTAGGTTGCCCCTGGACTTCGCAAGTCCCTGAATATAGTTCTTAAAAATAAAATACTGGAATTGAATATGATACAAACTGTGGTCTGATTATTTTTTTCGAACTTTGGCTCTTCATCTTCGCTAAAACATAATGCATTGCTTTGGTTTTGTTGATTCAAACCTCGAAAAGAGAGAAATAAAATAGTATCATAAATATGTTTTAGTATTCAAAATCAAAACTGAATTGGTAATTTTATATCTTAAAAACATGAAACAATTCAAAATTCAAAGTTAGAGGCAGTGATAGAAAATTTGGAATCTTTTGCTATTCACGAGATGAGGTAAATATATATGAGTAATATTACGTGGATTTAAAAAATAGATTTAAAAACTAGACTTGATAATCTCAACTATTGATTTCACTGTGAATCCCAGTATTTATTGAGATCCACTACCTATTCAATGGTTGAGATTATCAAATTTAGTTTTTAAGCCTATTTTTTAAATCCATGTAGCATTACTCAATATATATATATATATATATATATATATAGATATATTAGAAAAAATAGAGATGGCATGGCAAGAATAGAGTAAAGAAAAAAAAAGTTCTCATGGGAGAGAAAAACGAAAGAGAGACAGGCTAACGTTATGAAATCAGGTCATGTGACTGACTTGGCATTTTTCTGACGCTATCTGACATATATTATTGAAATGGGCTCTCTTAATTAGTCTTGATGTTGTTAATGCCCTGCAGGGTATACCAAGAGTGTATGGAATATTTTATGGAATATTTTTTGGTGCATTACAATACAATCAAAATCATTTGATTAATAAAATAGCTATTATCTAAGTTTAATTTTTTGCTCAATTTTTTTGTAACACACAATAAATAACTAGAAAACATTGTGCATAGGAGTAAATTGCTATTCGAAATTACATTCATTTTTTGAAAAATAATTTTAATGCATTAATAAATTTTAATTTATTTTATATTGTTAACTAATAACAGACATAATTATAATTTGATCTTCAAAATCAATTTCAGTTGATGAAAACTTGATCAATATTTTGCATCTAAAAAATTAAAAAATAATTTTTAAATAAAAAAATAAATTATAATAATAGGGAAAATATTAATACGGCCCATATGAAGTTTTTATCTAGGGCCCCAATTTATCTTGGGCCGCCCCTAATAGCATCATAACATCTATAATTTTATAATATAAAATATGAAATAATTCAATAAACTTATTTGATAGTCTCAAATAGATTAATTTAATGGTCATCAACATCTCTCTCAAAATCGTTCACATTACACCATGCCTTCAGATACGAGTTACACCTAATGAGTGACTATCTTAAATAAACTTATTCAAAGGCTACCAATAATCTTCTCAAAATCGTTCACATTACACCATACCTTCAGATATAGATTATCCCTAATGAGTGCGTAATTTAAAAAGTCCCACAGCTGGGTTTACTTACTCCACATCAGAGATATCCATTAATTAACTAAATCAATTTTTTTTTAATGCCAACATGCCAACATAGATAATAGTTAAAAGTACAGTATACCAATGTCATAATGAAGTTTAAACTATTCACCAAATGTGAACAAGAAAAGAAGTAGATTGATGCCCCATCTCGGTAGTTGGAAACGGAACACGCTTGCACAATTTGCTATAAAA